TGTCAACGTTCCCGTACGTCCATGAGCCCTTACTCCGTATTCCCGCGTCTCATCCGCGGCTAGATCTTGTTCAACCCTCAACCCATTGTCCGGCTCGTTGTATCTGTCGTCACCTCTCGCCTCCCCGGTACTTCACCACATATCACCGTTTACATCTGGTCCCTATCTCGGCCTCGCCTTCGTTGGGAGCTTCTCCGCGTCGCATAACCGCATGGTGTCGGTTTTTGTCTGGGTAAGCAGTCGCTGTACCCACCATCCGTACCTGACGCTAACCTCTCCCGGGTCGTAGCCTCTCATGTGCACACCTCGTTCGGCTCGTCTTTCCTGCTCGGTCGCTGGCTGGAGTTCGTAGGGTCTCAATCGGGGTTTCGTCGGGACACAGGTACATTTCCGTTTCGTTTCGCTCCCCGTCTTCCCTCCTTCCACTGTCCATTGGTCTAATTACGCACCTATTCCTCGCATTCAGTTGCGATAGTCCACATACAGCTCGTCATGCCCAAGCCGAACGAGTCTGTCCTATTTCACGAGAAGAAACCTATCAAGACGCCCTCAGGCACACTCCCAAACGGCACACCATCCAAACCCAGTCCTGCTGCACCATCATCCCCTCGCAAAGCTCATCTCCCTCGCGCTTCGCCACTTCCAGGCACCGAGGATAGCGCAGCACTTCCCGACGGACCGTTCAAGGAGTACAAGTTCATGTCCTCCGCGTCAAACGGCTGGAAATACGACGTCATGAAGTTTGATTCGGCGCCACGGCACGGACCAGCGCAAGCCCGGTGCAGGTGGAGGTCGATGGGTCAATATGATAGGATTGTTATAGGACGCAACTACTATACAATGATACGCACTGCTGGGATCCGCAGACGCCTGAGGCCATCGGCGAGGTACGCTCCTCCGCAGCGTGTCGGCGTCGAGTATGCTTGAACATACAGTCCATTTAGCTCCCTTTCAAGCGACAACTGGACGTTCCAAGTAGAATGGTGCCCTGGCAACACAAATCTCCTTGCAACGGCTCCCTGGTACGCTCACTTCACTTTCGCGCAATTGTCTCGCTCAGGATGTTGTGTCTTAACGTAGTCATACAATCGAATTTACCTCAATCTCGTTAACCCCGGCAGCAAAGCGTTTAATTGTATACTGGACGCCAACACGGTGCATAGCAACTATCCCTCCGCCGTCGGTTTGCGCCCTCGGTTTGCGCCCTCGGTTTGCGCCTTCGGTTTGCATTCTGGGTTACGCCCTTAGGTTTTTGGTTAGATACTCGTCGGATGAGCTTTTGTCAATAATTACGTAGTAGGTTCCGAAGATAATTGAACAAATACGAAGAGTGGTTACATATGCAAACTGAAGAACAAAAACAAACGCCGCGCTGTACGTATCTTCGATACATCATTGTGATCTATACTGACTGCGATGTGCTCAGCACGCATATTTAATCAATCGACCGCCTTCGAGTCTTGTACAACCAGTTCTTTTCACACCGCGAAGCACCAAACTTCTGATCTCCATCACGCGAAACAGCCAACCTCTATTCTCGTACCCGACTTAACGTCTCTCAAACCTCACCGGAACAATGACCCTCTTTTCCAAGATTGTGAAGACGTCAACCGATGCGATCAAGGTAAAGGCCATCGCCCTGCACGCGCTCCGCATACTACGGACACTGACCCCGCTTATAGTTCTTCCAGTTGCTTGCCCGGTACACCCCCAACAGCAATAGCGTCGTACAGCCAGGACAGGTTTCTGATCAGCCAGTCACTACTGTAAGTCTGTTTACACCCCTTTTGGCCCATCTTATGTCCCGCCACAGAGGAAGCGCAGGATCAGCTTCAGTGGTGATAACCAGACGCCGAAACGAGTAAAATTTGAGCAGGAACTCGGACATACGTCAAGGCACGACAACAACCCTCGCAAAAGTCCTTCTCAACGATCCAAGCTCACCAGGACCAGCCCCCCAAAGCGACAGAAGAATCAGTTTCCTTTCAGCAACCAAGTCATTCAGTGGGCAACCGAGCACCAGGTGAGTCGCTGACGAATGATTGTTCTTTATCCGTTCTCAATGAGTTTTGAGGCCCCCGACGAGGGCAATGATGCTCAAAAGCGTACACATAATTGGATAGTTCAACAACATGTACGTCTGTAGGCTGCTGGTATCATTTCGCGCTAATCATCACTACAGCTTCAACGTGCACTTAGCCTTGACAGTCTGGCGAGCACGGTAGACCAAGCCGGCCATAGACAGCCGGCCCAGACTTATTCTGGCGACAACAAACCGAATGTAAGTAATCACGACTTGAACGAATGTAATTTTGTCGCTGAACAGTACATTTTGCACAGTCGAAACGAGCATATCCTTTCGACGAGGCTGTGCCTCCCCCGCGCAAACGATCGAGGCAGAGCGCCATTACACGCTCAGCCTCTTCCTCATTAGTGCGCCTCCTCAGGCGGCAGGGCGCGTATGCCGTCATCCCAACAAGATCGCGGCGGTTAGGGACCTTGCCCCCGGAAATCTTACTCTGCATCTTCGACAGCTTGGACTGGAAATCCCGCATGGCAGGCTCCCAAGCCTGTCGTGTCTTTGCGTCAGTAGTCGCCCGTCTTATAGGGAGTCGAAACGACCTTCGCAGAACGAATATCATCCCTATCTTGATATTTAACATTGATATCCTCGTACACGCAGCCAGATTACAGTCGAACTCGATCGAGCCCTACATCTTTCGGCCTGACGTCTTCCTATCGTGCTCATTTCCTGCCCAATCTGATATAGCATTTTTTGTTCGCGGTCTAGTCCTGCTCTCAGAATTTGTTCCCGCCGGTACTCCTCTCAAGTTCTCGCTGTTCCTCACCGACATTCCCGTCGACCTTCGCAAAGATGTTGCGACGCTCGTTTGCAACGTCCATCAAAAGGAGTTTGGTAGCATCGCCATTTTCGGGTCTTCACTAATAGATCCCCCTGCGCGTTTGCAACGCGGAGGTCACTCAAACCGCTTCGGTGCTAGTTCCTATCGCGAAGTTACGCTTTCTTCCATCGCCTTCCAAGACGGCATGGCTGGCACAACCCGACATATACTTGCTAGCGGGTCCTCCATTCGCTCCCTATCACTTGCGTGCGTTCGGCTCAAGCCACACCAATGGGGTACCCTTCTCAACCCTCTCACGATCCCTGAGCTCGAAGACTTTGCTGTACCCGTGACCTGTCCCGGATCCGTTGTACAAGACTTTCTCGGACGACATCAGTCCATAACATATCTGACCGTTGAAGAGTATCATGACGACACGCAAACGCCAGCCGGTTTCCGTGTTCCCGAGGCGGTCAGCACACTCTGTGCGCCTCTTGCCGTTTGGCAATCCATCTTGCGTGTTTGCACCCTCAATTCCTTGTATCATGCCTCGATCAACCTGCCCGCAGTCCAGGCTTTGGAAGCGGGCTATCTCGCGGACGTTCACGCTATCGTGTCCCAGTGCGTCGGGCTCGGATGGTTGACGATCACTCTTCCTCAAGGCTTGGCTCGCGAGGCTGCACTTCGCGTTACTCAAGGACTCACTTTCCCTGGCATCACTACATTGTACTTGGATTGCACGAGAACAACTGGAGTGGACACCGGCGACGGCATGGTGGTAAGTTCGGTTGCCTTTTTGCGCGTCGTTGACCTTTTCTCACGTCCGATTCCAGCCTCTGGTCGGCGCGTGGACCAGTTCTTTCCCGGACCTCACGACCTTTAGATTTAGACCGCATATTGGCGACGAGGGCTTCGAAAGAGGATTTGACAACATCCGTGGCGAACTTAGAGCTGAGATGCAGATGTATGTAGAGGATAGTGTCGACCTTGTCATCGTGTGTTTCTGAATCGTTACCGGTAGCGTGCTCCCTCTGTCGTGTATATAGTGTACCATGTAAATAGTGTAAACTCTCGCGTCCTTTCTCGCTGTACTGCGGTGTAAACATATAGATGTATTACCGGAAATATTATCCCTCTGCTGTGTGTTACTTGCATCCTACTGTCAGATACTTCAGGTAACTCGTGGGGATGTAAATGCCTTGTATCTATTTTTTTCGAGTACAGAGGACATGAGTTTGTACTCCTTGAACGGTCCGTCGGGAAGTGCTGCACTATCCTCGATGTCTGCAGATGACGAAGCACGAGGGGATGATGGTGCAGCAGGACTGGGTTTGGATGGTGTGCCGTTTGGGAGTGTGCCTGAGGGCGTCTTGATAGGTTTCTTCTCGTGAAATAGGACAGACTCGTTCGGCTTAGGCATGATGAGCTGTATGTGGACTATCGCAACTGAATGCGAGGAATAGGTGCGTAATTAGACCAATGGACAGTGGAAGGAGGGAAGACGGGGAGCGAAACGAAACGGAAATGTACCTGTGTCCCGACGAAACCCCGATTGAGACCCTACGAACTCCAGCCAGCGACCGAGCAGGAAAGACGAGCCGAACGAGGTGTGCACATGAGAGGCTACGACCCGGGAGAGGTTAGCGTCAGGTACGGATGGTGGGTACAGCGACTGCTTACCCAGACAAAAACCGACACCATGCGGTTATGCGACGCGGAGAAGCTCCCAACGAAGGCGAGGCCGAGATAGGGACCAGATGTAAACGGTGATATGTGGTGAAGTACCGGGGAGGCGAGAGGTGACGACAGATACAACGAGCCGGACAATGGGTTGAGGGTTGAACAAGATCTAGCCGCGGATGAGACGCGGGAATACGGAGTAAGGGCTCATGGACGTACGGAACGTTGACAATGACGAGATCCCAGCGTCGATGAGAGCGATAAACTAGAATAGATAGGGGCGGGATGAGCGGGAGGAGGAGGGTTGAGGATGGCGTGGACTTACACGAACGGACGGCGGCGAGATCGCCTACCAAGACGACGCGGAGGAGTTGATGGTGACGACGAGGAGCGAAGACGCGAGAAAGCCCCCAGCGTCGGCGAGGGAGGCGGCGCCGACGTCGGGGACGGTGAGCGGGTTGGGGTGCGAGGTGGTGGTGAGATGGTCGGAAAGAAAGGCCGTGGG